AGTTTGAGACCAGCCTGGTCAACATGGTGAAACCCCATCTCTACTAAAAATACAAAAAAATTAGCCAGGTGTAGTGGCTTCTGCCTGTAATCCCAGCTACTCAGGAGGCTGAGGCTGGAGAATTACTTGAACCTGGGGGGCGGAGGTTGCAGCGAGCTGAGACCACCTCACCATGGCAATCCTGCCTGGATAACAAGAACTAAACTTAGTCTCAGGAAAAAAAAAAAAAAAGAACAATTAGAGAGAAAGAAAATAAATTCTATAAAACTAAATTTGAGAATGCTGTCTAAGACTTAAACTTCCATGGCTTGGGAATTGCTGTTAGCCTTGAAGACAATGACATCAACTCCTCCAGGAATCCATAGGCTACTCCATACATTAAGGAATTCACTTCTGTTTTTTTTTTTTGTTTGTTTTTCATTTTTTTTGAGATGGAGTTTTGCCCTTGTTGCCCAGGCTGGAGTGCAATGGCGCGAACTCAGCTCAATGCAACCTCTGCCTCCTGGGTTCAAGCAATTCTCCTGCCTCAGCCTCCCAAGTAGCTGGGATTACAGGCATGCGGTTTTGTATTTTTAGTAGAGATGGTGTTTTTGTATGCCCAGCTAATTTTGTATTTTTAGTAGAGATGGTGTTTCCCCATGTTAGTCGGGCTGGTCTTGAACTCCTGACCTCAGGTGATCTGCCCGCCTCGGCCTCCAAAAGTGCTGGGATTACAGGCGTGAGCCACCGCACCCGGCCAGGAATTCACTTCTGAACCTGTATTCTACCATATTGCAAGCTCACATGTCTAAATACTACAAAGGATTCATTTGATGTGTCTAGCTTTTAATATATAACAATAATCTTCCCCAAATATCCACCTAATAGCTTTGCATGACTAGAAATCTGAAGATTTCGTCTTTTGGAAAAGACTAAACATCTCAAAATCAGAGGAAAAACTACTGTTGGCCTTAATAAAAAGGAGATCATCAAGAAACCGTAAACTGAGAATTCTTAAGTATCTTCCAGAACAACGATTTTTGTAAGAAGATGACCAAACCAATGTCTTCAGATCAAGCTTTGATGACTCCAAGTAGATACGTCCATCCAAGACAGTAAAATAGGATACAGGTTCTGGTATCTTTGCCCTCTTTTTAAACTTTTGCTGTACTTAGCATTGTGCTTAAGCATTGCCTAGAGGGCAACCAAAAGTTTTTAAGATTCTTTCACAAACTTGGCCTGGTGAGATGGCTCATGCCTGTAATCTTAGCACTTTGGGAGGACCAGGCAGGCAGAATACTTGAAGCCTTGAGTCTGAGACCAGCCTGGTCATCATGGTGAAACTCTGTCTCTACTAAAAATACAAAAATGCAGAAATTAACTGGGCGTGGTGTCACCCACCTGTAATCTCAACTACTTAGCAGGCTGAGGCAGTGAGATGAGATCGGACGAATGCACTCCAGCCTGGGCAACAGAGTGAGACTCTGTCTCAAAGAAAAGGATTCTTTCACAAATGACGAATGACAGTTTATCTTAATCTTCTTTTTTTGTTTTTTGAGGCAAAGTTTTTTTGCTCTTGTCACCCAAACTGGAGTGCAGTGGCGCAACCTCAGCTCACTGCAACCTCTGTGTCTCCCTGGTTCAAGTGATTCTCCTGCCTCAGTCCCTCAAGTAGCTGGGATTACAGGCTTATGTCACCATGCCTGGCTAATTTTTGTATTTTTAGTGGAGACAGGGTGTCACCATGTTGGCCAGGCTGGTCTCAAACTCCTGACCTCAGGTCATCCACCTGCCTTGGCATCCAAAGTGCTGGGATTACAGGCATGAGCCATCATGTCTGGCCTCAATTTTCTATAGTAGAGAATTTTCCCTGCCACCTAAGGAAAGGGAAAACTTTCTTATTTTTTTCTCAACTATAGCTATTGTTTTTTCAATTTTTATTTAGCTTAAAATTTTTCTTTTAAGAGACAGAATCTTGCTATGTCACTCAGCCTGGAGTGTGGTGGTGTGATTCTAGCTCAAACTCCTGGGCTCAGGTGGTCCACCCACCTTAGTCTCTGGATAAGCTAGGACTACAGGTGCGCATCACCTCACCCAGTTATTGCTTTCAGGTTTTAGTAAAGATGAAGTCTCACTTTGTTGCCTGGGCTGGTAGCAAAATCCTGGCTCACAGGATGACCTCAAACAACAAAATATGTCTGCTGACATTATTGCAATAATGTATTGAGTCTCTCCTTGCAGTGTTAGTCCTTAATCTTCAGTGACTCCTCAGCCTCCACTTAAGCAATGTTCACATGTTGAAGAATTAGTTGTCCTGCTCTCACTGTGATAAATGACACTTATACACCCCATACCCCTTTCAGTTTGTGCAGCACTAAATCACTACTTTTTATGTGAATATCAGGTCCCCGATCATTATACAAACTTATCTAGTGTAATGTGGAGTGAGTTTTAGACTATTACATTAATAATATTTTTCAATATTTTAAACATCTACTCCTATAGGAAATGATGTTTCTCTGAGAAAGGTACCCAGAGCTAAAATGAGGCAAGTATGGACTATTCAGGAGACCTTCCAGGAGAGATGACCGACTCCCTCTTCATCTATACTCTGGGAGCTCCAATTCCAGTAGTAATAGGAATAATATGACTAGAAAAAAGTGATCCAAAATGTGTCTCTGGTCCCAGCAGAAATCAATAGATGACACTACTTCTTTTCTGGAGGTCCAGTAACCTAGTTTAAATTAAAGTTTCATGGTGGTTTTGAATGATTTCATAGTTTTTGGTTTCTTCTTGGCCAGCCAAGGACAGCTTTTGTTTGATAGCAAATGCTGTTTGCAGCACCCCCCTAAAACATTACTGTTCAGGCAGAACAGTTTTGTGGCAAGGTTAAAAGACTACCTGTCTCTCTAGAACAGATTCAGATGGAGTTGGGACATGATTTCATGGTCTGGTTTTGAAATCGTCCTTTGTCTTTGCAACGTATTACTAGGATTAATAATCATTTTGTTTCAGTAATTACCTGTATTTGACTAGTACATTCTGTTCAGTCTTTTTTTTTTGAGACGAAATTTTGCTCTTGCCCCCTAGGCTGGAGTGCTATGGTGTGATCTCAGCTCACTGCTACCTGTGCCTCCTGGGTTCAAGCGATTCTCTTGCCTCAGCCTCCTGAGTAGCTAGGATTACAGGTGCCCGCCACCATGCCAAGGTAATTTTTGTATTTTTAGTAGAGATGGGGTTTCACCATGTTGACCATCAGGCTGGCCTTGAACTCCTGACCTCAGGTGATCCACCCGCCTTGGCCTCCCAAAGTGTGGGATTACAGGCGTGAGCCTCCTCTTCAGTCTTAAATGCTACTTAAATGCTACTGTGCAGTCATTATATTTTCACTATGTATATTTTGTAACAAAATGTATATGAAAGACCAAATGTTTGCGGATGCAGAGAACATTCTCCCGAAAACCTTGTGATCTGTGGATTCTGATAGTGGTATAGATCTGAACCTCATAGATGAAACTCCTAATGGCTGACTTTGTCTTTGGTAAAAGGGGAGGCTGAAAACTGAAAAATCACCCAAAAACTTGCAGTGGGAAGCTGACAGGCCAAGCTGAATCTTCCCTACCAAACATGAATGTCTCCTGCAATTTTATTTTTTTTATTTTTATTTTTAGTTTTAGACAGAGTCTTGCTATGTCACACAGGCTGGAGTGCAGTGGCATGATCTCAGCTCACTGCAACCTCCGCCTCCTGGGTTCAAGTGATTCTCCTGCCTCAGCCTCCTGAGTAGCTGGGGTTACAGGCATGTGCCACCATGCTTGGATATTTTTGTATTTTTAGTAGAGACAGGGTTTCAGCATGTTGGTCAGGCTGGTCTGGAACTCCTGCCCTCCTGATCTGCCCACCTCAATCTCCCAAAGTCCTGGGATTACAGGCATGAGCCACCGCACCCGGTCGCAAAATATGTTAAATACTCAAGATTGCTCAGTGACTGTCACTCAACGAGATGTAGAAAGTCTATTCTGGCATTCTATGACAGCTCGGCCGGGCATGGTGGCTCATGCCTGTAATCCCAGCACTTAGGGAGGCCGAGGCGGGGAGATCACGAAGTCAGGAGATCGACACCATCCTGGCTGACATGGTGAAACCCAGTCTCTACCAAAAAAATTACAAAAGATTAGCCGGGCGTGGTGGTGGGCGCCTGTAGTCCCAGCTACTTGAGAGGCTGAGGCAGGAGAATGTCATAAACCCGGGAGGCGGAGCTTGCAGGGAGCCGAGAATGCGCCACTGCACTCCCGCCTGGGCGACAGAGTGAGACTCCCTTTAAAAAAGAAAGAAAGAAAGAAAAAAAAGTACATTCTGTAACTATATTTGAAACCAGAGATAACATTCAGCAATGAAGACCACATTAGTCTCTCAACTTCCTAGATAAATTTACCAGCATAATTACCAAATTGTCCCATTTTAGAGAACTAGCTCCTACTCCTTAAACGTGCCTTAGACTGCCCTAGTCAACTCCTACAATGGGCTCCTATGACACCATCCTATCAAGTTTATTTTCCTGTGTTGTTTGCTCTCCCTTGATGCAACACACCAAATAAACCCAGTCGTGTTGGAATACACTGTGTGGTCACTGGGTGGCTGTCGACACCTGTGCAAATCTACGGAGCCCATTTGGAGGCTTCCTGCACCTCCATACCCTCAACCCCTGCCCTGGTTCATGCCAGTAGGCATGCTCCAAAATCCTTTGAATTTAGAGTGAAGAAAAATTCCTGATTCCAGGGCATCAGAAAGCCAAGCACTTATCAGATGATTAAGTCTGACTTGAAAGGATTAAGCTCAGAGCAGATAATTACTTGGAATGAATTATCTTGGGAAGACCTCCAGGGATTGGACACCTACCCTAAGGTGGATCAAGGGGCGGGTTGTTTGGATTCCTTATTAAGCACAGAGCCTAGGCCCTTCCTCGCTTTTCCAAGTCTTTTGCCAACCAGTTTCTTCGACTTTCCCCTATTCTGAATCAGGTGGGAGCAGAGCATGGACATGGGAACAGGTGCTCTCAGCAAGGAGCCGTGGTGGACCCTACCCGAAAACTTTCATGCTCCAATGGTGTTCCACATGGAAGAGGACCAGGAGGAGCTCATCTTCGGTGAGTGGCCTTTGCCGACGTCCCCTCCTTCATCTGTTTGTTTTTATTTTTTTGAGACAGATTCTCGCTCGTGATCTTGGCTCACTGCAACGTCTGCCTTTTGGGTTGAAGTGATTCTCATGCTTCAGCCTGCAGAGTACCTGGGATTACAGGCTCCTGCCACCATGCCTAACTAGTTTTTGTATTTTTTGTTTGTTTGTTTGTTTTGAGACAGTCTCGCTCTGTCGCCCAGGCTGTAGTGCAGTGGCGCCATGACAGCTCACTGCAAGCTCCGCCTCCCGGGTTCTCGCCATTCTCCCGCCTCAGCCTTCCGAGTAGCTGGGAGTACAGGTGCCGCCACCTCACCTGGCTAATTTTTTGTATTTTTAGTAGAGATGGGGTTTCACCATGTTAGCCAGATGGTCTCGGTCTCCTGACCTCGTGATCTGCCCGCCTTGGCCTCCCAAAGTGCTGGGATTACAAGCGTGAGCCACGGCTCCCGGCCTAGTATTTTTTTTTTTTTTTTTTGAGATGAGATGGAGTCTCGCTCTGTCGCCCAGGCTGGAGTGCAGTGGCGCCATCTCGGCTCACTGCAAGCTCCGCCTCCCGGGTTCACGCCATTCTCCTGCCTCAGCCTCCCGAGTAGCTGGGACTACAGGCGCCCGACAGCACGCCTGGCTAATTTTTCGTATTTTTAGTAGAGATGGGTTTCGCCGTGTCAGCCAGGCGTGTGTGGAACTCCTGACCTCAAGTGATCTACCTGCCTCCGCCTCCCAAAGTGCTGGGATTACAGGCATGAGTCACTGCGCCAGGCCGGCCTCCTTCATCCCCTTCTCGGTTTTCAATCTTCCCCTCTCCTCCCACCTTCATGAGTCACACATCCCTACCCTCAAGGCCACTTCCCCACCCCCCAAGGACTGGTGGCTGACAGTTCCTCTTCTCACCTCTTGTGCTTCCAGGACTTGGTGACACATACCTTCGCTGCATTGAGCTGCACAGCCACACCCTTATTCAGCTGGAGAGTTGTTTTACAGCTGCAGGCCAGACTCGTGTGACCGTAGTCGGACCACCAATGGCAAAGCAGTGGCTGCTGCTCATGTTCCGTTGCGTGGGGAGCCACTACTCCAAGCGTCACGCTCAAGGTAGGTATCCTTGGCTGAACTGTGGAGGGGAGGGCTTGATGGTGGAGTTCTGGCTGTGTTGTGTGGCATCTTGGATTCGTGAAGAATCCCTTGTGTGGCTGGGGAATCCAGGTGCTCTTCCCAGAATCCACTGGGAAGGGAAGGGCTCATTTTTGTGGCATGCGATTGCTCAGAGAGGAAAGGGTAGCAGGGAGGAGTAAATGGGTTACCTTGGAAGACCTGGGCTGGGGTGACATCCTCCCTGGAACCTTCCTGGTGGAGTCGGGGCCTACCAAGAGCCCCAGTAATGGACAGTGGTTCATCAGCCCCAGGCAATTCTTTTGCAGGTCTGAAGATGCTCGAGCGTGTCCGAAGCCAGCCCCTGACCAACGACGACCTGGTCGCCTCCATTAGCCTGTCACCCTACACCGGAGACTGATCTCCCCTGGGAAGTGGGGATGAGAGAAGTCTTGGCTTCACTTTTGCTGAGAAAGACATGAAAAACAATGAAGAAAGTTTGAATCTGTGGCCAGACCTGCCCCTCTCAGGCCTTCTAGGCATGTGTCTGAGGCAAATCTCCTGAATGCAAGAAGTGTTATTGGTAAAGCAATCCAATAAAATAAGCTACCTATGATGCAAAGCCTTCTATGTGCTGTCCTCTTTCCTTAGGATGAACTTATTCAGTCCTGAAGGGGATTCTCTGGACAAGTGCTGAGGTCTGGGGAGGCCCAGCCCAGGGAAGGAGCCGGGTATGAAAGTTGGCACTTTCAGGAACTGCTCCTCTCAGGCCTGGAGCCTGGTCAGGCTTCTCTGAGTTGAGTGAAAACGGAGGCTGCTGAAAAGGGACCCTCCTAGAATCCCCAGGGTTTTCCTGGACCTTGAAGTGCAGACAAATGGGGAGAACGGAAAGGTGGGAGGAAGGGTCCAGATAGAGATGGAAAGTGTTCCCACCCCAACTACCTGGTGAAGTAGACAACCAGGGAAGCTGGTGAATATGAGGTAGCCAGCATTGTCCCTGATTGCCCAAGTTTGTGGGTGGGGTGAGAGTGGAGGGGGTGATTTTCAGGGAGCTAAGGATTCCGAAAGTCCCTCAAGCCATGAATTAAATTGACTAGGAAGGCTTCCTGAATTTCCATTGAAGAACTTTATCCGATTGCAGAATCTACATCTTTCTGTAGCGAAAATTATGGCATGCTAAAACTGTCCTCAGTAGAACTCTTCCTCTTCAAATTTGCCGTTTCTCCAGCAGTCTGTATCTTATAATGAGGCAATTGCAGTACTCTAGGAGAGTGACGATGGTGACTTGGACCCCAGAGTGGAGTGGTAGAGTTAGGAAATGGTTGAATTTGGAATCTGAAATGGTTGAATTTGGAATGTATTTTGAAGCCCACAAGATTTGCTAATTACATGGTTTTTAGAAGGCCAGTTACCAAATATAAGTTAGAAAGGTTGGCCGCGCGGGGTGGCTCAGGCCTGTAATCCCAGCACTTTGGGAGGCCGAGGCGGGTGGATCACGAGGTCAGGAGATCGAGACCATCCTGGCTGACACAGTGTTTGGGAGGCCAAGGGGCGGGCGGATCACGAGGTCAGGAGATCGAGACCATCCTGGCTAACACAGTGAAACCCGTCTCTACTAAAAATACAAAAAATTAGCCGGACGTGGTGGAGGTGCCTATAGTCCCAGCTACTTGGGAGGCTGAAGCAGGAGAAAATGGCGTGAACCCAGGAGGTGGAGCTTGTAGTGAGCCGAGATCGCGCCACTGCACTCCAGCCTGGGGAACAGAGTGAGACTCCGTCTCAAAAACAAAACAAACAAACAACAAAAACAAAACAAAAAGCCTTTTTTTTTTGAGTAAACCAATAATTTGAAAATCAAGCTAGGT